ACAAGGGGGACACACCGGGGTGAAAGCGGGGATACACGCGGGGGGGAACGGGATAGACACAACGGGTGACACAGAGGGGGACACACGGGTGGGGGCACACGGGGACACGCACGGGGACACACATGGGGGGCACACGCTGGGGGTAAACACGAGGACACCCACGAGGACACGGGAAGTACACGGGGAGACACGGGGTTCAGATATGGGGACACATGGGGGCACACAGGGACACACGGGGGGGGCACAGGGGTAAACACGGGGGGCACGGGGGCACACAGTGGGGGCACGCCCGGGGGACACATGAGGGGCACATGGGGGAACACAGGGATGGGGGGACACGCTGGTGACACCCGTGGCGCACTCACGGATGGGGGCACACGGAGCAGGTGGCACTGGGGGACACGCATGTGGCTGGGCACCCATGGGGGGACTGCACTTCTCCCCCGCGGGAGACCCCCGGGGTCAGCTCCGGACCGCTCCCCCGGCGTGTTTAGGGGTCCCATGGAGGGGCGGGTTCCTGCGGGCCGGGCACAGCCCCCAATGTGCGGGGGGGGCGGATGAGTCAGGACCGCTGCCTTCCCGCGGGGGGGGGAACAGAGCAGGGAGGCCGGGCGGAGGCCGGCCCTGCACCCACCCCCTCCCCAGCCCCGTCCCCTCGTCCCGTCCTGTTGCCCCCGCCGTGAATCAGCATTTCGGGGGGGGTCCATTCCTAGGGCTGCGTCTCCCCCTTCCATTCCGTCCACCTTAAGAGCCGCGGGCGGCTCCACCTTAAGGCGGGGGAGGGGGCGCGGGGGGGCGGCCCCCCACCCCCCGGTCCCGGGGCTGCAGTGGCGACAGCAGCGGTCACAGGAGCGGCGACAGCGGCAGCTGCGGAGCGTCAGCCCCGCCCGGCGCCGCCTCCCGCATCCTGCAGCCCGCAACCTGCATCCCTGAGCAGCATCCTGCATCCCGCAGCGCGGGCAGCATCCTGCATCCCTGGGTACCACCCTGCAGTGCTGAGCAGCATCCTGCATCCTGGGCAGCATCCTGCATCCCTGGGTACCACCCTGCAGTGCCGAGCAGCATCCTGCATCCCTGAGCAACATCCTGAGTGCTTGGGTACCACCCGCCATCCCTGAGCAACATCCTGCATCCCTGGGTACCACCCGGGCAGCATCCTGCACCCCTGAGCAGCATCCTGCACCCTCGGGTACCCCTCGGCACCCCCGGGTACCATCCTGCACCCCGGTGCCCCCCGACCCCTAGGCTGTGAGCAGCACCCCCGTCCCTGAGGACCAGCCGCCCCCTTGGCCCCCCCTCTCGACGCCCCCCGACCCCCGCCATGGCCGAGCCCAGCTCCGAGTGCAGCATCAAGGTCCTGTGCCGGTTCCGGCCCCTCAACCAGGCCGAGATCCTGCGGGGGGACAAATTCCTGCCCGTGTTCCAGGGGGACGACAGCGTCGTGGTCGGGGTGAGTCAGCGCGGGGGGCGCGGGACCCCCGGGATTGGGGGGGGGGGCAGTGTCCGGTATCCCCAGTTTGGGAGGGTGGCTGTCCGGAGGGGGGCACTGGCACTTGGGGGGCAGAATCTGTTATTGGGGGGGGGGGATGCGCTCCTGGGTGTGGCCGCTGCCTCCCGGGACTCTTCCCATGCCCCCCCCACCCCTCTGCCCCCCCCTCCAGGGCTCCCGGCACTCCCAGTTTGCCCAGTGCCGAGGGGGGGGGTGGTGTTTACATCGAGCGGAACCGCCCTGACCCCCGGGGGGGGCGCGATCGGCCCCCAAAGCAGCGGGGGGAGGGGATGGGGGGGGTTGCCGCAGATCCCCCCCCTCCCCCTCGCGCTGCGGCCCTGCCCTTTGTTAGGGGGCTCATCCGGGCGATGTCTGAGACCCCCAAAATATCGCCACCCCCCCCGCCCCTCAATAATGCCCCCCCCCTTGCCCGGGGGGGGCGTCGGGGGGGAAAAGAGACGGTCCCGGGGGGACAATGGGGAGTGGGGGGGGTCCGTGGATAGGGGGGTCCGTGGATGAGGGGGGTTCGTTGATTTGGGGGGGTGTCAGCGGATGGGGGGGGTCTGTGGATGAGGGGGTCCGTGGCTGCTGCGGGATCCGTGGACGGGGGGTGTCCTTGAATGCGGGGGGGGTCCGTGGGTGCGGGGGCGTTTGTGG